TTCTTACGTAATCTTATAGCCGCATACTTTTGGCATATTTCAATATTAGGACGGAGAAATTTTTTAAATTACGGAAGAAATAATGCGCAGAATGCACACTACTACCCGGTCATCCTGACTATGTAAATTCTATTTTCCTTTTTTCCTCATCGATTTATTTTTCCAATTTTTTTTCCATTATTTCATTTTTTCTCGCCTATTTTTATCGGTCAAACAACTATACCGTTTTAGCACTTGAAAATCGATGACGCTACAACGAAATTTCTCCCGGATTTGCGGATAAGTTTAAAGTTGCCCCCGTCGCGCACTTCATATATATCGGGCGTAACGCGTGGACCTAATCTTTTGATCCTATAAGCATGGTTCAGCGTGAAATCCTTGGAAGCTGAAGAAGTTAGTTACATGGGACTAATGGAACGCAGTAGGAGCTCTGGATAATGGACGACGGTATGGCATCGTAAATAGTAGATGCACTTCACTTTACAAGAAAATCTAGTTTTATTTTTGAATTTCGCATCAGATCTTCTAATGGAAAACAAAAAAAAAGTATATACAGAACAACGGAAATTTACGTGTAATATTCAGAAATTTATGACTTATCCGAAACTTGATTCCCTGCCAAATATTATGTATGTATATCCCGCGGTTATTGTATACATTATATGTGCATATCTGAAGAATAAATCATAAAATTATTACAAATGCAAATAATGCAAATAATTATATTAGCATAATCAAAAAGAAATAATATCTATCGTTTATTTTTAGAGCAATAAAATATTCATTAGAGTATTAGAATATTTGTTTCAATGTATATATTTTCCTTAATTGTTACGATAAATTTCGTTTTAATTCAAGCACCTAAACGTATATTTTATTTCGCTCTGTACATATTTTGTTTTATTAAAAAATCACATGCATAGATTCTGAATATTAAGACCCCTTTGAACTGTCACAAACACTGTTTCAGAAAAAACTCATCGCTCACTTTTTGTCTATGTGACTGGTCATAAACTTTAAAGCCACGTAAACCTTTTTACTTCTTCGAGAAGAGATTAGTCTCTCGTTAACGCGTTTTTTTCCTGGCCTAGGAAAAGCCAGGAGAAGAAGAACTATGACGGAGATATCTTTGTCGACGAGATTCGGCCGTTTTAAATCGAAAGCAAACGATCGTGAATTTCGAGGATCTCTACTACTGGCAGCTCGCGATTTAATCGCGTAACAGTTTGCTCGGCTTTTCTTTCCCCAGAAATAGATTTCCGACGTGTCGATTCTCCCTCGTTCCTCGTCCTCCTCCTCCTCTACTTCCCCTCCTCCATTTTCCACTAACGGCGGGGAATTTATGGAGTTTCGAGCACGACCAAGAGCGCAGTTTTCTGCTCGTGATAAATGCATCCGCTATTGTGAAATGTATATACACGCGCCTCTCGCAGAGGCTGCTACGTGCGCCTGCACTTTCAATTTTGAATTGGCTCAAATACGGCGAGATTTAGTCGACCGCTTTTGGTCCCAAAGTACAAACGACCGGCACAAATATTCGCACAATTTCAGCCTATTAAGCAAATAACGTCTACTATAACGTACAACTGATCGTAATTCATCGAGCAAATTTTCCTTGCACGATTTGTAGTTTTTAAAATCGTGCGACTAATTTATAGAGTGATATGAAAAAAAAATCGCCCCATAAAACTGTCAAAAATAAAATTTTATATTAGTACAATAATATAAAGAGCTCTAAATAATAATAATTACACTGAAATAATGATAGTATAATAAAATTATTTTATATATCTAAATAATAATTGTATGAGTTTGATATTCAAATCTATTTTTTGAAATTCGAAATCTTGACATGTTTTGGCTCCTTGATTGAACCATCTTCAGAAATTTCAAAAAATTTTTTAATTACAGGTATGACTTCTTTTTAACATAGAACGTTTTATATAAAATTTTATAACAATTTATTAGAAAGAATTTCATTTATTGCTGTCTTTATAATTATTATATAAAGATTTTACATTTTTCTATTATTAATTGTAAATTAAGTGAATTGATCGCGTAAAACAAATTCAATAGGTATATTTCGAGGTATATTTGTTATAAGTTTTATTAACAATTTAAAAAAAAATCACTTCTCAGAAACTCGACAAATGTTATTTCTTTTATCAAATTTTCCTTTTAAATATGATAAATATTAATAGTATTTAAAAATAGTTTACGTTTGCACTTTTTATAAAGTAAGAATTTATTTTTCATTTTCTTTCACATTTTCTAAATCCATTCGTATTTCAGTGGTTTTTTTTTATTAAAATATAAAAATTGTTTCATACAACAGGACAAAAGTCTATTTTCCATTATTGAAGTTCGAATTAATTTTCCTTTCTCTCTCTTTGAATGAATAAAATATTTGATTGCGAAACAATGTTCCTACGAGACGCGCGAATTTCCCGTAATACTCAAAATCGTTTTTTCTCCGATCGGCTATTACAGAGACATTTTCACGTCATTGTGATTGCATCATTGTGAGAGAAGACGATTTTACAGGGGCTGTAAAATACAATTTTTATATCCTGCTGAGATGTGAATCGCCAAGTAAACGAAATTTCAAGAGTTACTTCGCTGACGCGCTTATCACGTTCTACCGATAAATTGTGACTGTATCCATTATTACAGTATACAAAATTTATCAAATTTTGTAACAGTATAAAGGATTAGCTCTTAGTACATACAATGGATCATTCACATCCTACGCATTTCTCTCCTTTGAAATATTAGGAAAAGATATTTTTATTTAAATTGATTAAATAAAGTTTCTATCGTTTCTTTTTTTTAAATAGATATATCACCTTATAAATATTTTCTAAAGACGCTAAAGTATATATTTTATTATTAAGAAACATTTATAATTTTTGTATGCTTGTAAAGTGATGAAACCATTCGGACAACATTATGTGAGATAAAGAATCGAAAAATCATCATATTAAGGGTTAAAACATATAATAATTCATTTAAAACTCTATTTTAAATAGAATATTTTTATTTTTTTTTTATTATTTCTATGTGTTTATAATTGCCAATAAAATTTTGACTTTTACTCATTTTGTTTGTCATGTTTGTTACGGTGATGATTGACATACTATAAAAGAAAATAAACGCTTTCCTTTAAATTGGGAGAAACCAGTGATCGATATCAAATACGATTTACGAAGCTCTCGTTACGTGCCGACAAATCGATATTCACACAATCGATATTCGGTTCCGTTGATTTAAGTTAAAAACGCAACACGGCGTCTACAAAAGTCCGTTTGATTGGCTTTTATTCTTCAGTCGTACAGAAGCGCTCGTTTTTCCTGCCCCCCTTTGAAGTTTTCATGAACAGACATCACGCTTTTGCGCCCTCCGGGACTTTTTCTTCAAGCGACGCTGACTGTTAGAAAGTTGGGAGATACTTCTCTATCGTGGAAGAACGATTGTTTTTCGACTCCCTGCCGGACGGACATCGAAAAATGGTGATGAGGAAGAGAGCCGTGGGGCGGGACACTTTTTCCTTGCTAGCAGGGAATACGTGGGATTTGCGTCATGTGGTGGGAATAAAACTTTTAGTTCTTGGCAGTCGGCCGCGCGCGCAAAAAGCCATTGTGACAACAATCACTATATATAAGACAAATTTTTCGTATTGCCACAAGAAAAATGTTGACTTCCCTCGTGAAAATATATTTAGCCCCTTACATATTTCCGTATATATGATTAATGTTGCAAGGTAGCAACAAGAAACATTCACGTACACGAAAAGTTTTACATTTTAAAAAGTGCCTTGATAAATTGTTACAAAAAAGGAAACTAAAAATTAAGATATAAATCAGAGAAATATGATACCTATCTCTTTTCTAATAATTTCACGGAAAGAATGATTTCGCTGAAATATCTAAAGATTTAGTTATATCTGAAAACGATTTTATTGCGCCATCAAAATAATTATGTAGAAAATTCAAACATAATGAGCTACAAAAACTTTTGAGCAACAAGTATATATATAATTATTTTGACAGTTCAACAAAATTATTTTTAGATCTGTATTTCACTAAATTTATAAATACTTCAGCAAACTCGTTCTTTCCATGTTAAAATTAAAGTTATTATAAATTCGATATATGCACAAGTCTTTAATTACAATCAAAATTTTTATGACGTAAATCGTGAAACTTTAAAGCAAAATTTTCAATAGAGAAATAAGATAAACTCAGTCTAATTTCACCGAAAATTCACATTCCGTTAAATCATTTGTAATTCATCGAAATAATAAAATCGCGCAACGAACCATGGAAAAACAGTGGCTCGTTACGGTGTATTGGCGTTGCTATCAAACGTGAACGCTATTCGTCTGGAAATTCAATCAGTTTAAACCAAATGGCGAGTAGGTTCCGGTGAATTCAAGTTAATGAAACGTTCCGACACTATTGGAAAATTTAATAGAGTGCATACGACCTCCTAAGGCAATCTCACGACGGCGTTTGTTGTAAACGCATCTATTTTTCGCACACCCCCGTGGATTCATTATCAAAATTGATTGTGGTAGTTGCCCGTTACAATCCTGATAATTGCCGATCGATTGTTCCAATTTCATTGGTTTCGTGGGTTACCATAAACGTGACACCTCGCATATCCTCTCCGTGCGTGTATAATTCTCTTGAAATTTATATTTAACACAAAACTCAATATTGCAATTATACTGTAATCGTAGACTATTGAACTTTTTTATATTATTAATAATCTCTTAAAAATTATTTTTTTTTTAATTAAAAAATTCATAAAAAGAATTTAAGAAAAAATTGTAATATTCATGAGATTATCAGGACGTTAATAAAATTTCAATAACAATAAGGATTTTGCTATTTTTGTGTTTACCATTACATTTCTCAATAGTAAAAGTAAGTATTTTTCTTCAATATAAGATCATCTATGAAAGCAACGTTTTAACAAAATCTTTTTCCGCGTTTCAGACATACGTACGAAAGGACTGACATCCCACAAAAAAAACCAGCAACCTCAAAGTCCATGGAGTCTCGGAGCAGAAAATTGCGCAAAATGGGGACTATGAGAAATTCTGAAATAGAGATGGAAGTGTATGAGGGGAGTAACCGGCGTTTATCGGCCAGGTATTGACCCTGCGTCTATCAAAAACGAAAAAAGCTTCGGATCCGCTCTAACGAAGACAGACTATGATACATTATTTAATCAGATGATAAATAGCGAACACTGAAGACGGAAAATACACTTTACCGCGATGGAGGCTCACGTCGATCAAGCCGCAAACGCAACTGTGGAAAATCCAGTCTTCTTCGATGTACCAATCATCTTGAGAGCTATCGTGCTCTGTCTTCTCATACTCATCACTATTGTAGGTGAGTTACACACACACACTCACTCTCTCTCTCTCTCTCTCCTGCTCGCACGACATTTACTTTGCAAAAAAAATTGTCATTTTTTGGAATAAATATTTTATTTTGAAAAATTTTTTTTTTTCAAATTTAATTTAACAATTAAAAAATTAATATTACGAAAAGGAACTTTATTTATCTGCTTATTTATTTAAATTCGTATTAGTTTAATTTGTCTCAATTTTTAATATTATAAATTCTTTCGATTAGATGTTATATTATTGCTAAAAAACCAACATATTTTTATATATTTTTGAAAGAAATTAAAATATTTTTTAATGTGTAATTAATTTAATATCTATTATAATAATATTTTAATACACTATTATTTAAAATATAAATAAAATGTCTACATTGCGCGTATAAAAATGTATTCATATCCATTCATTAGCTTCTGTATTGAATATTGAAATACGAGTCGATAAGTTAAAATTGAGAAGAACGATATTTCAAGAGTAATATATAGTCTCGCGTTTTTCATACCTTTAGAAAAAGTTTATGACACACGTCAATATGAAGGCGGCACCCTTCAAGACTTGCTTTTCACAACTCGGAAACAAGCCCTTAAAAAATTTTTATGGACACGGTATTCTTGCGCGCGGTATTCGCAACTGATTATCGCTGTACATGCTGTAAATCGATAAAAATAATAATGAAAACCGTAATTGAATAAATAATACATTATAGGTTTTCTTGTTTTATCACGGAATATACATTACGTTACGTGATATTTTAACTTTGCTTTTTTAATTCAATGAATATGCCGACTCACTCTTCTGGATAAAACACTCGCGTAATACGAGAACAATATTTTTCGTGGACTGGCCACTGGATTGTATTATAAACCACGCAATTTCTCACTGTAATACACGTTATTTATTTTCCGATAATATGAAAGATTGAGAATGTTGTTATATTATGTTAAAATATTATGTTAAAATTATGTAACAATGAATAGGGAGAAAGAGAAAATAAGGTATATAAAACACTTCTTTCTACACATTGTTTTTTATGTTTTTTATGTTTTATAATTTGTTTTATATGCTAGTCGTTTAAGCCGATCAAAATGTCAGTGAGCCTCTTAACGCCGACTATGATATCCGAGTTATTCAGATGCGAAATTTTGAGACTATGAGTTATTCAATGCGAAATTTTAAAAACAACAACACTGACGCATTCAATAATTTAAATTGCTGGTTTGAATTGCTGGTATTTTTCAAACATTTTTGCTTATAAAAATCATAAGTTTGCAACATTGAATAAAAATCATAGTATCATTTAAATTATTTAAAAGATAATTTGTTGGGCAATTTCAGAATTCATTTTTAATGCAAAACCACTTATGTTGATGTCAAATCATATAATAAAAATTTTAATTTTATCTCGTTAATTTTTATCTTCTTAATTTTTATATCGTAAAGATTATTGATGAACAATGTTAATATAAATTGTTTACAATAAAATAATCTTCATGTATTTAAAAAATTTCATAAAAAAATTATTTTATTTTAAATAACTTATAACAACATATTGTTCGTTACTAACTGTTAATCTCTTCTAATTAATTTTGTATTAAATGAGCTAGTCATTGCCATTATTATTATTTTAAAGTAAGTTACTTAATTAAAGTTAACGTTAAAAGTTAAGACACTTTTTAATTAGTTATCAATGAGCAGAAAGAATGTCGTGGTCAAAGACATTTTGATGAATAGATAATTTTGTTGGCGCCGCTAAATGTATATATAATGAATCGACTCATTCAAGCTGAAATCTAAAAAAAAGAAAAGTTCGTTTCCTTAATTCGAAGTCGATTCGACCAATTTATCTCTCGTTTTTATTCGAATGCTTCCAACGATAATTACCGACCCGATTTTGGCAAGTCATTTTCTTTTGCATGCCAAACTTCCGATCCAACAGTGTCTACGAGGCAATTGATCTCACCTCGATTAATCGTTCTTCTTGCCGTAATTATATGCCATCAAGCCCCAAATAACTTCACCCCTTCCGATCATCGTCAGCATCATCCACGCGGAGGCGACCACCCGATAGTAATACGTTAGTGAGAACAATGGCAAAGATCGCTTGGAAAACGTATTAGTTCTCCAAGGCACATAATATATCATCAAGCGGTGACGGTTATCACAATATCCAGTCGCATGCTTTGCGTGAATGGGGTTTTCCGCGAGGCAAGCGAACTAACATTGTTTTACGACTTGTATTTACTTAAGTACAACCCTTTCCTGCCATGGCTTCACCCTCAAATTCTCCTCAGCAATACCGAGAATAATAGAACGCACTTTAATATTAAAATCTCTGATTGATTATTATCAACGCTAAAGACATTTTAATATGAGCATAACGTATGATAAATGACTTTCATGGGCTTCGATAAATATTTGTCAAAGACATCAGCGATCATCGGCAAGTATGATTAATATGTCTATAATCATTACGTAAGATATTCCATAATTAGCAGAAAGTGAACACGTAAAGTTATTTACACATGCTGTTAACGCTAACTTTGATCTAGATATAGAATTCCGCGGATAATTTACACTATCGCTATAATTTATTCGCTTTGATTTTTCATCGATGTCATTCGTCGACTATTAAATCTCGTGAAATAAATCTGTGTGAACATCTTTGACTTCCCTGAGGATATATTTCTCGAAAGGGAATAGAGTTAAAAGTTATTGAGAAAACAGATAAGTTTATCGCGCTCCGTTGTAACATCGTGGATAGCGATGTAACCAAGAAAGATGCGAAAAAGATCCGCCAGCAGCTGTTGGATACATCCACACACATACGTCCTCCCAGTGACTTGACAAGGCTCGAAGCACATTCCAATATTAGTATAGTTCACTAGCTAACTAACAGTTCGTTGAACATGACGTCAGCTGCCATGAATGTGTCTGCTCTTTCTCCTTCTCTCCCCTGGTGTAGGGTAAATTTTCTGAACGCTTGGCGAGGCACAAAACCGTGAATATCGTTGCGCAAATGTAAATTAAATAATCCCCTCTCATCCCCCTCTTCCCTCACACAGTAATCACTGCAAATCGAGCGAAACTTCTCAAATGCAGCGGGTTGTACCAACCGCATTCGTTCATCTCTCTTCGGGGACGCAAACAGCGGAGCACGTAATTTAGCGCAAAGTTCGCCACTAGTGTATACGTGGAGGTAATTGACTGTAATCGAACAAATACGAGAAATCAGAAATAACTGTAATTTGCGAAGATCTGATATCGAAGAATAATAGGTGTCAGATTTCTTTTCCGATAAATCGCAAATTGAAAAAAGAAAGTAAAAAAGGAAAAACTTCCGATATTTATAATACAAATTGTATAATAATAGTTTTTTACAGGAAAATAAAAACTACTCAATGAACATTGCATAATTTCGAAACGTAATCACGTATTAATATTATATACAGTATGTACACACCACGTGGAAAGAATATATATTACAGTTTTTTTTATTTATGTAGAAAGTAAAAGTTTTTCTCTCATAAATTCAATTAGATCATAAATTCAATTAGTGTAAATATACGCATCACGTACCATAAAAGAAATCAAAGTTTAATTCAATTATATTTTGCTTTTGAATTACCAGCGTTAAACTTTTTTTATGAAAAAAAAAATGAGTTTTATTAGAAATACACGTTTGAGAAAAACATTTCTTGATATATACATCATGTATATGATGTTGATAGGCATCTTGCTTGTTCGTAAAAAAAATAGCAAGCCGATAGGTTAGACCGCCGACGCGAACTGAATGTGTTACTCTACCTTGCCCTTCGATCGTATAAAGGTTAAACGATGCGATGCGAACACATAACGTACCCCGCATGAAGACGTAATCAGACATTTCCGATAGTTATCGTCTCTCGAGAAACCTGGGGTTGCATTTTCAATGAAACTAGGGGAAAAAAAATATAGCCTTAGGTTACAGGAAAAATATATATATAAAGTTACTTCAACAATTACGAGTATAAAAATATCAATCATTTTTCATCATTATATTGAAAAAGATAAAAGTAAATTGTGTTACATTTAATTTTAAGGTTGCCGGTGTAATGTCAAAAGCGGATATAATATGCAATTTATTTACGTGTCGCCGTTCTATACACGAAAATAAATGAGTTTCCGCGCATATGACAACGGTCGCGATTGATAAAGCGAACTTGTAGCATTTGCCGTCTACTCCGGTTTTGGTTTATTAATCAATAAACGGCCATATAATTCAATTAAAATCTGTCCTATGGTGCGGCAACGAAAACAAGTTATATGACTACACAGTTATTGGATAACGAACCATAACCGCAGTTTTCGGCACGTTTTACAGGTCCACTTTACATCGATCGCGCGTGTGGTCGTGTGAGAAATTCGTTTATCTGCGCGTAGACAACGAGAATAAATTATGCATTATTTCTGCTTTGACATGATAAAATTTTAAATAGATATTGATGTTAAATCCATGTATTCGAAGATTATGAGGGACGCATGATAAATTTGTATGAAGGATAAATTTGAAATATCGATAATCGAATTAGATCGAACGTAATCTAAATCGCGTTGAAGAGTTATATATAAAAAAAATATAATATATTTTTCATAAGAAATTTATTATCAAACTCTTCCATTTTATGAGGAATCAAAATCTGTAAGTAATTTTATCGCCTCAAAATCGTCTATTCTCATATGTAATTATCTTATTCATTTGTCACATTCCCAAAAGCTCTTATTATCCACGACAAGAACATTAGCTACTATAATTTTTTATTCTCTTAACAAGCTCGTTTGCATAAATCTGATGAATTTTTCGTATCATCTCTCTGCGCGCAATTTGAACAATGCGAAATATACATCTCGACTACCAAAGCGTTATTCGGCTTTCGGAAAAAAGGATTAATGTTTTCGACGCTTAATACCCCTTTTCATTCTGCAGATTTTTCTGTCGTCCAAAAA